GAATTGTTTAGTGATGTGGTACGTTCTTGTCTCTCGTGAATCGGTCGTGCGCCGCGCATGTCATTTAATTTCTAATCGTACCCGTGTAGAGCATCATGCTATCGGCTTGCCCACCAACGAAATCTCTAAGATTCACTAAAGTAATCTTTTCGGTTTGCCATAAACATCATTAAGATAGGTAAAATGACAAAGTAAAGACGGATGAAAAAGAAACTGCGTAAACGAATCCGTGCGCCTTACTTTGGTCTGTGTGTGTTTTTTTATGCTCTTTTACCTTTTTTTAAAACGAATTATACCAACATTCTCAGACTGCCGCACTGGTGTCATGAACAAACAACTCAGTGGACTGCAACAGCCTGCCTAACCAGATTACACGCGAAGTGCTTGTAGGCTGCGTCAACTGAAGCAAAACTTTAGCAAAGCTTTTCCCGATAAGCGCTAAAACTTCGGGTATCTAAGGCCCACATTTTACTAAACCTACATTTTCTTATGAAATGGTAAAGCACACTGAAGATGAAATAGAGGCACCTGCAAGCGCAATTTTAGACTTTTTTTTTTCTTTTAACATTGCAGAGAAGCACACGTCAAAGCCTAATAACCTGGTTGCTGGATGGCGCTGTTAAAGTTGTTTTTTTTTAGTCATAAGAGGCAAGTTCTGAAATAAAATAAAAACGTGAAGAAAACTAAATGTAGAATTTCTGGCTTCCAGCATGCTACCGAATACATTCTTTGTTTTCTGGACTTTCTTGCGGAAGGCTTTCGAAGGTGCAGTCGCGGTGCTACTAAAACGTGAGTATCAGAGGTTTCAGGGCACCCAGCAGTCCGAATGGCAGAAGCGAGACATCCAATTATGAAGCCAGCACAGGCCCGCAACCCTTGCTGCTCCTGCCTAGACCATTCCACAATCGCAATTTTGTGACGACGACTGGCCGTGGGTGAGTACGTCGAGAACGCATACAGTGACCAATCACAAACTTCTGCCCATTTTCCCTCCAATCTTAGTTTGAAAAGTAATGTGCGTTACTGCTTGACATTTTGTTTTAATTGCAATAACAACTCTGCGCATATTCTTTTGGTAAATGACCTGTCCGTAGTTTCACTATAAAGGGAAAAAAAAGAAGAAAACGTAATAAAAAGACAAATTTGGTTTCCGAAGCTTCTGGGTCTGAGATCACGCAAGAGATAACTGCAAATGAATATTTTGTAAGACCACCGAGACCCATCTTCCATTTCTTGATCCGCGTGTCATCTGAAACCGTATCAAGGAATTGAGGCGGTTTCAGAAGACACGTACGCTGCGAGATATTTCCATTGCCTCATAACGGTTCGATAGCGCGGTCACCTCGTCTTTAACTGCTTATCCCCGAATCGGCGCCATGGAAGCATCGCAACGCGGTATGTCCTTTCTGACGGAAAGAGGAAACTATACGACGTAGCCGGACAAGTCCTAAACACAGAGATATTGAGGCAGCACGTCAGCGTATCTCACTCTGGTCTGCCCACAGAAACCGACTTCCGCCATTGATACTAAACATGCCGCCGCTCACCGCGATAGCAACGGCTGCGCGGGGTCCAGTTATCGGGGCGCTGTGCCTAAAAGGCCCATTTAGCGATACGGGCCTTCATAATCGAGGCCCGATGATGTCGTTTAGGCCTACGTGCATCCCTCAAGGGACACGGAGCGGCGACGGTCGACGCGTAACACGGGGAGAATAATAAACGGTAGTGTGACGTTCCAACAGCCCGGATCGCCGTCATCTACAGCCTTGCTGGCGATTTGTAATCGAGAAATCGTTGAAAGACAGAGAGAAAAATAAGTAAAAAAAAGGTCTCCAAGCAGTCCGAATTCGAGTCTCAAGCGACAACTGGAGAGCGTGTCCGGGGCTGCGGGATGGCATGGCGGTACGCAAGGCCGTCCCTTCTTCTCACTCGCCGTGCGGACAGAGGCATCTGTCGAGGAAGACAAGGCTGGCGAACAAACGCAAGTGAAACGGCGCTTGCCGCTGGCCGGATTTTTCTCTTTTCCTCGTCGCAGCAATGGCCGCTTGAGGGCGCCGCCTAAGCTAGCGCTACAGCTATCTCTGGAATGCTGCGACAGAAAAATGCCGCCTCCCACATCCTGCACAGACACACACGCTGTTACATAGATATGCTCGCAGAAACGCACGAACGAACACCGTAAGCTGTTCCGCGTGTAATCTGATCGCTAGGAAGGGCGCACTCTTTTGTTGTTATTGTTGTTTGCGCTGGCTGGCGCATTTGAACCATGCGCGTTCTCTCTCATACGTTCATGTTTGTTTTCGTTCTCTTCTCTTTAGTTGCAACGTGCCCTTTTCTACCATCACTCGGCTCGAAAACAGTTCATTGGCTGGCGCGCACTTGGGGAGGTTTTACTACGTTTGTATTTGTCCAATAGTTGATTTTTTGTTTTTATCGAAAGGGGAGACTTCCACCTGAGACCCTGCCAAAACCGTAGCCTTTCAATTATTTTAAACGATACAGATGGGATGGGAGGTGGAATGCAGCTGATTTCGAGGTAGAAAACGACGTGCGCTCTCCGTGTGCTTTAGAGTTTTGTCACTCTACTGGGAACGAGCTTTGTTACAACTAACGGAGTCATTTATCCTCGCCCCCCCCCCGCCTTTTTTTTAACGCTGTATCATTCAGCAAGAGGAAACAAACGAGACATGGCGGCGGCGAATCGGTCCGTCGAGATGGTGCAAGACGCAGCGAACAGGTTGGTGCTCCTCTCCTGCAATGGGGCGCGCACGGCCAAGCCTGGGCCCACATTGCCTTACTTGCTTCTTCTCGGACGGTCGATTCCCGGCCGGCCATGTTCCTGTCAATTAGAGTTTAATTAACTTCACCTTTTTCTTGTGTTTTATAGACAAAGTGAAACAAGCTCAGTTCTTCCGTGACGGACCAGAGTGTCTGTAGCCCCTCCTACTCACCCCTCCTCCTCCTCCCAATGCTTCCCATTTTTCCTTCCTCCCATTATTTTACGGATCTTCACGGAACGCCAGCTCGTAATTCGCTGTTTCATCCCATCCACCACTCTAATCAAACCAAGGTTCGATAGAAGCCGTCTGACTGGCCGTGAATACTTGAGTGCTGCTAATGTGAGCCGGACGAAAGCGCGCCCTCGTTCATTTTTACAGTGGCAGGCAACGTGTTTCGGCCAGCGATTGTGCTCTTCTTGTAATCTCACGAAAAGCGTAATAAAAGCGGACGCCGTCCGCGTTCCTTTCTCCATGGCACGCCGCGCGTGACTCATTTCCGTATGTATGTATGTATGTATGTATGTATGTATGTATGTATGTATGTATGTATGTATGTATGTATGTATGTATGTATGTATGTATGTATGTATGTATGTATGTATGTATGTATGTATGTATGTATGTATGTACGTACGTACGTATGTATGTATGTATGTATGTATGTATGTATGTATGTATGTATGTATGTATGTATGTATGTATGTATGTATGTATGTATGTATGTATGTATGTATGTATGTATGTGTGTGTGTATTGTATGTATGTATGTATGTATGTATGTATGTATGTATGTATGTATGTATGTATGTATGTATGTATGTATGTATGTATGTATGTATGTATGTATGTATGTATGTATGTATGTATGTATGTATGTATGTATGTACGTACGTACGTATGTACGTGCACACGTGCGCGCCAGCTTGTGTGTGTTACTGAAGGAACTTCCAACAGGGCTGGTCACCCAGCACCGAAAAGCTAGTTACACCAAGAAGCTCACGGAACACGTTTTTGCTGGCCAGCGGCGGTAACTTCCAGCGACAAATCAGTGAATGCACGGCGAGGCCGTGCAAAGTGTGGTTTGTAGCCTGAAGGCAGATCATAAAGGGACTTACGAGCGGGAGTTAGACGCCAGCAATAGTTAGTTAAAGGACGTAACCGGATCCGATGTAGAATCCTGCGCTCGGCCATTCGGCAAGAGTGGAGGGCAAGAGACGCAACGGGATTACGCGGCCAGGAGACGCCGTAAACCGATTATCCGGCCGCGACTGCGGAACTATGTCGCGTGGCGGGAAAGAGATGGATGCCGGCGCATGCCGTGTCCATAGCCCTCTGTACTGCGCTGGGCGGTCCACTCATCCCAAGCGTTGCATTACGGCCTGTGCGAGATTTCAGGCTCTCAGCGTCCGACGCCGACCTCGGTTTATTTCAAACGCTGGTACTGGGGGAAATAGGAGTTGGGGGAAACGGTATTAAGCAGGATAAATTGCCCTTTTCGTATCATGACTGCACTCTGCGCAACCATCGTTCTGAAGGAAGGAAGGATGGGATTTGGGCGTGCGCCGCTTTGGGTAGGTAGCTCTGGATATCTGTGCGAACAGTCGCGTGCCATGACCGAATCGGGTGAGGAAAAGTGTGGTTGTCTTTCTTTTTCTGCCTTCTTCTATGTACGTACATTGCACAGTTTCATCGCTAGCAACGCTTTCTATCGTAGAGATAGCTTGCGTCGTCCACTTTCTGTAAGGTGGTCCAAGAGACACCTACACTGATAGATGCCGGACCAAATGTGTTCACTTAGCCGTAAACCTTCGCGCATGGTGTAGAGGCCCCTTGAGCTGCTATGATGCTCCTGAGTGGTTATACAAATGCCACTTTTCTTCTTCTAACCAATGCCAAGTGAATCGTGAAAAGCCCAACCACGCCCTGATAAATGGCAGAACACACGGTGAAGTAGATGACATCGAATGTGACTTCGGAACACGCTAAAGCATATTGTCAATGGTCACGGGGTTTTATTAGATTCACATTACTTTCGACGTGCATTGCCGAGAGGGAACAGTATCAACGCCCCGAGAATGAAACTTAAGTTACTGCGCATTACCGCCTCGCTTCTGTCGCTCTTCCAACTCTGCATTTTTGTCTTTGAGCCGAGTGCCACCCCAAGGCACCTAAATTCTGAGATCGGGGACACAATTCATCTACGTGCTCAGGCTCGCTCACCTTCCTTCCTGGTGGTCCGGCGGGACCCGGCGGTCCGGGCGGTCCAGCGGGGCCTTCGATGAATCCCGTCGGGAACGTATTTCCGTCCAGCGTCGTCGTAAGGCCGCGTTCGCCTTTGTCGCCTTTCTCGCCCTGGTGAGGTGAAAAACGTCGGCGTGAGGTGCAGTCAGCTTAAACACCTTGTTCAAAGTGATGTTTCACGATTTGTAAGCCGGCCATTGCGTGACGCTTGAGGATACGGCAAGTTAGGCAGCTACAGGCATAGGCAGTGCCCCGTAATGATCCCTTAAAAAGTAACTGCCTCCAGGAGTAGATGAAGTCTAGTTGATTCAAGATGTGGCACTGCCAGACATGAGCATTTAACAAAAAGTCGAGTCTGCATTACAGTTACTTGGTCACCTGTGTAATGCGAATGCCACGGGTTTTATGTAGCGCCTGTAACAGAGGCTCCCCAAGAATAAAGACTTCTGTAAATAATATTATTATTGCGCCTTGGAAGGTGTGTGACCGTGTTTAATCGGTTGCTTATAGCTGGTCCAGAAGTTAGCCGAAGCAGTAAAACGAGAGTGTTTTGGGTGTCCTGATGCCAACCCTGTGAAGGTTAAAGAAAAAAAAAAGCAAGTTATCTTTACAGATGGTATTCTGTGAATAAACGTAGGAACTTACGGTGAACCACAAGTTAATCACTAGTCACGTGACCAAATGTCCGGATGATGCGGTCAAATATCAGCGACGCGATGCTCACTGATATTACACGACGGCGGCGACGGCTGCACGCACGTTAAAAGCATGAAGAGCGGCGCGACATTGATTGACGTTTTTTTAGTTTCACCTTAGGTCCTGGGAGTCCGTCCTTTCCAACAGGCCCCTGAAACACAAAAGAAACGCGAAGAAAAACAACGGCAGTTGAGTAATTCTACATGAAGGGCTCTCGCGCTACGCACATTTTTTTTTGTATACTTTCGCTTTTTTAATATAACTCGGTTAAAGAGCCACTTACCACGAGGCCCGGTGGGCCGCTGGGACCAACTTCACCCTGAGGACCCTGAAACAGCAAACACGTTTTTTTTTGCCTGTGGCTGCTATATATTATCTGAATTCGTTACCCATTGTTTCAGTTTTTCGCCTCATTTACCGTTTCGTTTTTGTAACTTGACTTAAACAATACAGAACGTTCAATATCTAACACACAGCAAAATATATCAAAGCACTCTCGGTCCTTTGAACCTTCCTTTACAATATTTCTCAAAAAAATGCTATCGCCATTCGGGAGACATTTTCGTGACATTAACTTTGCGTTCAGGCTCATCTCGGTATTGTGAATGTTTTCTACAAGGGTTTCCGTTGAGTTCAACAAAGTCACGTATTCGTATTTTTCACACGGCCGCCACTAAACGATTGATTCACTGTACACTTATCAAGAGGTGTAAATACTACCCGCACGAGAGCGGTTACATGGTGCACAAAGGGGACAGACTGCTACGCTCAGCCGCAACTGTAAGACAGCAAAATCATCCTCTTTGCGAAGGCTGCTACCAGGTCGGCGACTCTAGCACTGTCTGTCATACTCTACTTCACAGTAGCCATTATTCGTATTTGATGGCTGATCTTGGCTGGTGGCACTGCAGGATCCTGTATGAAACATTGATCAATGCTGCAGATAATTCGTTTCCAGCACATTCATAATGCTGTCCCGTTGTTCGGCCGAAGTCTTTCTAATGGAATATCGGGAGAAGGTGCACACCACGGGTCCAGGGGGTCCTGTGCCGCCGTCAAATCCTGGCAATCCCGGTGGTCCAGGGGGTCCAGGGGGGCCTGGAGGACCAGGCTCTCCTTGCGATCCCTGCGTCGGAAGATACACAGTAGGGCTTCCGATACCACGTGGCGCATCTCAACTACACGGGCGTGCGAACAAGTAGAGCTTTACAGAAAAAGGTGAACTTTTTGTGAGCATAGAGAGTTTTGGTAAAATTATACAAAGGAAACCCCATAGATTTGTAACGCAGCACAGAGTCGTACAGCTGATCCCATTCGCGGCCAACAGCATGTAGAAAACAAGAGCACCCTCAGTTATACTTTTTAAAGTTTTTTTATTCATAGGTGCTCAAACAACGAAACACGGCAGGGACGAAAAAATTGTGAGCGACGCGTCGCGGCAGTTTTTCTTACGTTTTCATTTCAACGAAGCTCGTGGCACCCTACATAGCACGCCAGCTTGAGTATTTAGTAACTTCCTGTAGAATTCGTAGTAGCGTCATCCTGTAGGCTCAATGCGTTAGCGCCAATTTCTAATGTACGTTACATTCATGCTTAAAATGTACCACGTCTTTTTTCTTTGTTCTCTCTCAACTTTGAGTCGTCTTCAGCTTCTGCGTCTTCTCTTGTGTGGGCCTGAATAGGCCTACAGTAATAAATAAATAAATAAATAAATAAATAAGTAAATAAATAAATAAATAAATAAATAAGCCTTGCGTTGGGGCTCACTAATTGAAGAAGGCTGAATTTGAACTGTGCTGAGTGAGCTCTTGGCAGTGACAGCTTAGTCCAGTAGAAGTTTAAAAAAATACGGCACAGACTCAATAGGACCTTCATTAAGTTAGGCGGCCACAGCCACTGAGCGAATGCCGGCATCCATTGCACGTCGCCGGCAGCCTGCGTTCATCTGCGCACATTATTCTAAGTATGTCTATTAATTTGAGTTGCGTAGTTTAAGGGAGAACGTAGTGGCGTTAAGTACAAATTTAACTAAATTGTTTTTCAAATAAAAACACATCTCGCTGCATTGCTACCGGTCAAACTTTACGAGACGCGTTATCTGCATCCTCGTCGGTGGTGATGCTTCTCCAGGGGGGGGGGGGGGGGTAGCTCGGGTTACTAACTTATTTGCCTGGGGAAAGTTTCCCATATGCCAAGCAGTGTTCACGTTACGCTGAGCCACGAAACCAATGTCACGGAGCTTCTTATTGGGGCACGTGCTCTGCCCTTGCGTCGACCAGTACGTGTGGTGTATTCACATGGCATGCAGTACCCAATATATGACCGTTCATCCTTCCTTTTCTTATTGAGCTAATTTGGAAAACATCTCTTTCGGGAAATGGTACCCACCCGAAAAATACCGCTGGAAGCGTTTTTCTCAGGTCGTAATGGTGAACGCGAAAATAATTTTTTTTTTCTGTTCAGAGTTCCCCATTTTCCCAATTCGCCGTATATTTCTCGGCTACCACTAGTAATGCTACGGCTATTCATTGAGGGGTCAGAATCACTGCAACTCGCGGTAATAAAGTTCATTGTCTGGTACAGCGGAAACCCTCCTCACGGCAGCCACAATCTGCGAGCAAATGACGACCTGGAGGAGCGCGAAGATTAGATAAAGGACTCCCGCGCACGCAATCTCCGAGGATCTGCCACAGTAGCCCCGCACTCACTTCGGCCGCCGGCGCTAATGGCTTAACGGCGGGAGTAACTTTTCTGGACGCGGTGCCCGGATTTTGAAGGACGTGCGCCGAATGCTGGGCGGGCCTCCCACCGAGCGGCGCATCGCTGCCGAGTGCCTCGATGCGCGCGCCCTGGCGGCGTCCGGCACGACTGCAAAAGATAAGCCCCTCGCGCAGACGATGGTCAACCGTTTTCAGGGGAATCATCGACATGCAGAGCGCGGTGTCGCTGCACGACGACTGCACGGAGGGAACTTCCGCGGTGGCCACTCGCTGTCAGCCGCCTTCCGAGTGACATTTGTTCTGCGCACCCGTCGCGATGCCATACGGAGCGCGGTGCAGCAGAGTCGGCTGGTGACCCCGGACAGGGCGAACTTAAACCGGTACAAGACTCGCTAAAACAAAACTAGAAACGCGCCATAGACGCCCGGCGACTGGCCGCAGAGTTCAAGTGATGCAGCGCGCGCGGCTTCACGTTGCCGTTGTATTCCAACATTTTATTAGTATTTTACGATTGCTAACGTGGCAGGCGCTGGTGTTGGGCGCTTATGTCATATCGACCAACACGGAGTTAGTTATCTGTGGCCTTTCAACCCCGAAAATGGGCACTATTAAAAGAGCACGTCGTGCGTAAAATATGCGTAAGAGACGTAATTTTACAAGAACCCCAACATAATTTTCTACTCCTTTCGAACTCGTCATCGGGGTGAATTCTAGCGCCTCCTTTTTCACGGGGATCATCTTTTATGTTTATATTTATAGATAATTCTCTCGAATTAAAATGTATCCTTATCTCCGCGAAGAGGAACATGAGAATTTCGCCCTATAATCTAATATAGCAACAAGGTGACACCTACTATTTCAGATGAACACTAACAGATATCAGGTATATATATAAGAAATTTTACTTTATAAAAAGTTGATACCTTGGTTTTATATTTTATTCGTGAGTTCTACTCTCACTGATTACGACGGACATATTGTCTTTTTTGAATAATAATTATTCGGGTTTAACGTCCAAAGAACACCATATGATTATGAGAGACGCCGTAGTGGAGGGCTCCGGAAATTTCGACCACCTGCGGTTCTTTAACGTGCACGTAAATCTAAGCACACAAGCGTCAAGCAATTTCGCCTCCATCGAAAATTCGGCAGCCGCGACTGGGATTCGATCCCACGACCTGTAGGTGAGCAGCCGAGTGAGTGCCTTAGCCCCTAAACCACCACGGCGGGTTTGTCTTTTTTGAAGTGCTTGATAAGGTGAGTATAGCGCACCTCTGGTCGGCAAGTTGGTGCAGGTTGTTCACGTCTCAGCGCTATACAAGCGCACTATAACACCGCCGTCTGTTTCCATGTTTTACTGCGACGAGAACTGGAGTGATAAAGTTGTTTAGTATGCTGAAATCATCGACGCGCCTTCTACTAAGGGCCACCTTCAAATATTGTTCGTCCGACATCAATCGCTCTGCACAGCAGTCCAATTGTATGCGCTCGATGAAGCGGAATGTCCCGGCAATCTAACCGCTCCTCAAAGCATAAAGTCGCGCCAGCGTTAACAATCAACAGGCCCGAGCGAAATGCGCGAGTTTTCACCGTGAGCCTGATGAGCTGTCTTCGTGACTGCTCTTCCGATATTTGAGCGTCACAATTTTTTGCTCACGCTTACCAGACTGACGTGCACAGGCTTAAAACTTATTTTGATTTCGTACTTTATGCTATAAAATATCAGAGACTCAGTCAAAAGAATGAGACGCAATTTGAAAAAAGACATGAGAAAATGAATGGGCAGAGATGTTTTTCTGTATTACATTGCAGCTTATATCAACGCGAGAAGGAGTTGCAAATGGATACGTACCTTCATCATAAACACATCGCCTGGAGAGAATGTCACTCCGATGTTTGCTAGTTCCTAAAGAAAAGAAGGTGGGGAGAGACCAAAAGGACAATTACGAACACTGCACACTATGCTTAATCTCCTCGCAGTGAACTGTCTTAGGCAGCGCTCTTAATTGCTACATTCATATTGCGCGGGTAGTGGTTTCAGGAACTCACCTATCTGAAAGCGCTCACGAACGCTGAATACTAAAAATGGTTGCTCCTTCATGCTAAGTCACCATGTTTATTGGTTTTGAAAAGCTGCCGAGCATTTGCCGTGAATAGTGCAGATGGTTGCATTTAAGTACGCATATACATTGCGCAAAATGGCTAGCTTGAATTTTGATGCTTCTATACCAGATGATGTTTCTATACCAGCAGCTAGGGCATTGTAACCATATAGCATTTCCTATCCACCATATTTTTTTATTTAATTTTTTTCAGGCCACAATGAAAAAGACTAAAGAACTTGGCATTGAATTTTGTAAGCGGAAATGACTAAACTCCTAGCTAATGCAAATGGAAGTTTGTGCTCTGGCTGACCAGTTTGTTGTAAAACCCTGTCATACATGTTTCGCGGCGATTAAAAAAAATAAAAAAGTTGGCTCTCAGCGCGTGTTCACGAACAGCATGCACACACATGTAATTAAAAAAGTGTTAGTCCCAGTTTCACATATTACTGAAGGCAGCTTTAGTCCCCATGGCAATCACCGAGACACCAAATTGCGATTAAAGGTTGGCTCTGCCCGCAGGGCTAATAACGAAGCATGCCTAAATACACTGCAGCTAATAGAGAGTGTGAGAAGTGCGAGGCTCGTGTTTGACATTCGGACCTTGGCTTCCCGTCCTTGAAGCTTATTTGTCTAAACAGCGTATATGCTCCACTATAGGTAGCGGCAGAGAAATAACCGAGACAGTATATTTGGGATGCCACGCTGTAAATCTTCTAGCCCCGAACTTTGCGTGCGCCAATGCTTAGAATGTAGGAAAGCGAAACAAAGCAGAACGTAGCTGCAGCTTACGATGAAAGCCTTTATTTTTTGTGGTCTCTCCCTTTTTGTGGAAGAGAAGGCAATATTGCCGTGAAGTGTGTTTGCCTTACGTTCAGTCGTAAACAAACTACAACTGAGACCTCGCTTAGTATGCAATTGCAGATAAAGCAGAAGAACTTCTGTTAGACTCGCATTAGGCAATCATTTTTTTTTGTTGGTTCCAATGAACTCAGAATGACGAGTCTGCGATAACTCGTTCTGGTGCAGTGCTTTACGAAGTACTGATGTGTAATACGGAGTGCTGACAATAACAGACTCAAGATGTCCAGTTTCTAGATATTGATGTATACAATGTAGTATACGATATAAAATACGAGATAACGCACTTGATTAGTTCAACTTTTGGCATTATTTTTAGCTTGATGACTTTCGCACTTGTTTATTTCCGCATTATTTTAGCACAAGTAATCTTACAGTAAGTACGACGTTGTTTGTTTGATTTTTCATCCCACAAAACTCCCATTTATTCCAGAATTTTGTCTCGATTCAGCCAGCTAAGAGCCACTGAAATTAAAGCCGCGGAATCAAGTTCGTTAAAAAGGGCGCATACTTGTTTCCTCGTCTTCGGAAGTGCTCAGATCACGATAGAGACGGTGACAAAACAAGCTGATATCGTTCGACGTGGCATTAAAACACGCATTCACTGAGTTCGGAAAATCTTATTTCACTGGATGCTCTAGACGAGTCGTGATTAGTTTCAACCCTATACGAATTTGCACAGATATATATTAAGAAATCACAGGTCCAGTAACTGCTCACCAAGCGCCTTTATGGGACTAAGTAGCCATGAGTGTGCATAAGTTACGATGATGTTACCATTTCACAGCAGAGCCTGCAATCTTAGGGACAGCCAACCCAGTCAAGAACCCGAAATAGCGAGAGAGAGAGAGAGAGAGAGAGAGAACCTGCATTGCAAGGTGCCACACACATTCGAGGATAACAGGCTAAAGAGCAAACGAAAAATTTTCTTATTCATGTGCGTTTTCTTTACGAACATAGCCGTCATCGTAAATATCTGAATCTGATGTTTGTTACTGAGGGAATTCCTGTAAGCTTAACCCCAAGAAGCGCGAGGAGGTTCGTAAGGCAGACGACTACTGAAAATGCATAGCGTAAGGCTAGAGCAATCTTTCCTACAGGAAACGTGCTTTAGCAGGATAGTGCGCTGAAACCGGGAAGGGCACTGTATCTACTGGCGCAGCGGTAGAATTACGGCAGTCACTCTTCCGCTGACACGATGCATGCTTTGACTGCTTAATCCCGTAGTACACCGCTGTGCACAAAGATGCGGTGAAGAGAAACGAAACGCCTGCCTGACGCTTCTCGAGGGTAACCAGAGGAAAGGCATGCGTCGCTTGAGAAACGTGCAAACCATGCGTGAGTGCAGACGCTAATTCGCCTCCTCCCTCTCTCCAAAAGCAATGTGAGGGCGAAGAAAGGAGGATTGTGTGTGCAGGAAGAAGGGAAGGACAGACGATCGAAGTTGCAAGGAGCCGAGAGGACAGCCGAGTTAGTCTCCGTCTCGAGCGGTGGCCCCGGAACGGCCGTGCGGGAGTCAAAAGTGAGCAAGGGGTCAAAGTGCACTGGGTTAAACGGGAGCGCGCGCGCAGTGCGCGGACTAACCTTAAAATCGGTGGCGTCAGCGATGCCCCCGTGGGGCATCTTGACTGAACGCTTTACTCCCTGAAACAGCAGTGGGACGTGGCGTCAGAAAGCCACTGGGCCAGCACATGCCTACAGCACCGCGCAAAAGCCCCAGCCGCCCTTATACCCCCAGCAGGACGTTTCAGGTGCCTCGTGGCAAAATGTGCTGCTTGTGGAACTGTCCAACACTTGAAAATGATTGCCGTAAATCCTCTTTACATCCATTGGTTATGTGAGTCCGCGTGCCTCACAGCTAGAAGCAGCGCATTTGGTCACGAAGTGTCACCGATAAGGCCCGCTTACATGCAGATAACCTCGCTAGCGTTCAGATGCCGATGCTCTTGGCTGCGGCGCAGGTGTTGCACTAAGCCCAACGTCAATGATTAGGCAGGCTGCACCTCAAGATGCCCCTGTAAAGCGGAGAAGTTAGATGCGTAGGCCAACCGGACAACATTCTAGGTATACCTAGAGCTATTCCGTTCTTATTGCTCTTTTCAGAAGACCGAGAAACTTTTGCGCAGCTAGAAAGGCGTCAAAGTAATTGCTGAAGCAGCAGCAAAGGGAACGCAAACGAACACCTTGGTGCCTTTCGTGTGTGCTTGCGGTTATTGCTCTTACAGGGCTTATCAGCTGACAGTTCACTCAAATCATATTTATACGGAACTAAATAACCTTTGCCGAGAATACGCAAAATGTACATTACACCTTGTGCTCGTAGCAGAAGATATAGGCACTTTGCACCTGGAAGATGACGCTATGACGCTTTCATTTGTCGCGCGCCAGCATCGCCTACTCCTGACACCACAGAAGCGAAGAAAATGGGATGACATTCCGCACGCCGGCGATATACGCTTAATCGTTCGTGTAATTGTTACACTCTGAGCTCTTCCAAGCTCAAGTTCAATGATGTTCACGCTACCTATGTTGACCCAAGCCATGCGGTGCATTTGCGCTGGGAAAACGTCAAACATTATAACCTAATTTAGCAAACTGAGGTGTCGCGACAAACTTTACGAATGTAGAAGCAGAGGTGATATAAACTTCAACCTCTCAACAGCAAGTCAGCTAGCTCAGTACAGAACAGAATGCTACATAGGTCACATCTCACCAGTTTGCCTTCTAGGGACCTCTAGCGGATGCGTCCTGACTTTGCACTAAACCTTGGAAAACTTCATCGCCTGTAGAGCCTTCACATCTTTCTCATCGTTTGAACTATAGAGTTTTCTAATATTCACTGGAGAGAACTCTGGCGCTAGTGTCTATGGGAGCTGCAACGCACGGCGCTTCAGCGAGCATGGGAATGATGGGTAGTACACACATTTGTGTAATCTTCGTACTTCTGGCCTGCTTTTGGCTCCGTGTGTGTTCGTGTGGCTTAACTGTTTTCTTACGAAACAAATATTAGGAAATGTACAGCAGTAGCGCTTTACCATCTTATTCTCTTAAACTTACCTTTCCAAATTGGGTAACGAAGTTCAAACGGGTTGAATCTTTCTTTCAAAACAAAACCGAAACAGCAATAAACGAAGCCGCAAGTACGGTTCGCCGCCCGCAAGTACGAAGACTAGGCAAATGTGCGTACTACCCATCATTCCCATGGTCGCTTAACGATCGCAGCGCCAGACTCCCCTCTAGTTAATTTAGGAAACTCTATGGTTTGAACGAAGGACAAACAGGGCACGATTGTGCGCAACAATTGCTGGAGCTGCGCATACTCTCAATTGCGTGGTGTCATTCTCCGAAGCGGCCGCTACAACGACCGTTTGTTGATGTGTGCCCACGGCTACTCATTCAGTGAGCGACGCAAAACGGAAGTCATGCTGATTCTTCGCTACGTAAACTGCTGACACGTACACGTGCAATTGGACACGAAAAGCTTGCGCATTTCTTCGGCTCCCTATCGCTTGTCCGAATTTCATGTATGTGTATCAGAGGTTGCCACGTGTAGCGAGATTTCCAACAATAATGATAAATATCGGTCAAAAGTGAGTATTCTGATGCCGCAGCCAGAAACCAGCCTCTGAACGCGAGAAAAAACAAGAAAGAAATGCTTTGTCACAACTTCAAAGGCGGCTTTTGATAAAAAAAGAAAGAAAAAATAAGACATATATATACACAGCCACAATCCCCCAGGACGGCGAAAGCAATCAGCCGTAATCGCTCAACAGCCTAAAAAGTAAGTAAAACTTAAAAACAATGAGGGAATGAAACGCTTACCTTCACATTTGAGACAAGGTCGATTCCCGAGTCACCCTAGACGAAACAGATTACAAAGAAATCGATGAAGTCAAAGGCGGCGGGTCACACAGAAGGCCCCCATGACGAACATTTGCTTTTTTTTGTTGTTCGGGGCCGACACAGAGAAAGCGACGTATGAAAATGAAAGCCCTTGTGCGGTGATGGCATGCACCTTCCTCATGCTCCGTACGACCGGAGTAGTACTGCCGAAGCGTGCCCGACAAAGGGAGAAAGGTGAATAAACAAAGAAGAAACGAGAAAAAAAAAAAAAAACCGAATCGCGCTTCTCGCTTGCGCAGAAATGCAGCTCTAACACGTGGCGAAGCTCGAGGTCTCCTCGTTGAATTCATTTCACGCTCGTAAAGTTCCGGACCGAAGTGAATGATTCGCTGAGATGGGAGCTCAGTATGCTTTAGTTCAAATGCCCGTAAAAACTTCGTGGCATCGTGCGACTAAAAATGGGCGCGTGCTCTGCGCCGCGGCAGCTCTGAGGCTAGATTTTAAAATAATACCGCAAAAGTTGTATGGTGCCATATATATATATATATATATATATATATATATATATATATATATATATATATATATATATATATATATATATATATATATATATATATATATATATATATTTCCCTATATATATACAATTTCCCTTCTTCTTGCCTTTCAAGAAGAGGGAAAGCTCTCCGGAGAGTCCATATGTTTCTGCGCACTGCCTCTGGCACAGCTTGTTGCTGTGACACAAAGCCGCGCAACCATCTGATATTCCATACAGTCTTTGTACAGGACTTTAACCTGCCTCAGCCATTAAAACTTCGTTGTCGCACCCACTATATCTCGACAAACAATAGAAACAATTCGAAACTCTGCGCAGCTACATTCTGAAGCTCGTTTTTCTCTCCCGCATGACTGCTTTGCCTCGGCGCGGTGCTTCATGCACAAGGAATGCTGCACCAAGGTCTTTGGATGGGCGATTCGGAAGCAGAATGCATGGGCCACGCCAGTTCTGCAGAGCAGACAACTTCATTAAATTGATCTCAAAAGTGAGCCTCGGTCTGCAGATCAAGTTCGTTCAACTGAAATAGTCGCCATTAAGAAGTTTGAGTTGAAGAATTTTGCATATGCATCGGAAAACCACCGGGGCTCTTATAAATGTTCGTTATTCCAAAACATTCCTACAAGTGAAAGTTCACCGTATTATACTTTTCAGAGGTGGGTGGATGCTGCTGGGGCGATGCTGCTATTATATTCGTACACGCAATTGCATGCTGAGATTAAATTTTCGGTGCGACTGTAGAAAGGCACAGGTTTGGAAACTTTATGCTCGAGAACTGTTCATAAGGGTGGGCTGACCGGTGGATCACTATACAACCAACCAAAAGATTATAGCGGAGGCATCCACTGGAAAAAAAAGTTTTTTTTTATTATTGAGAAACACAAGCTTTGTGCATTCAGACCCACATTACTTTGCGTGTGCTCCTTCGAGAACGGTGTGTCGAACATTGTACACGGTGATCACCAAAAAGCAATCAGAGGGGGGACGCCTGGTCGGTAACGGGCAAAAAGGAACCGTGCGAGGGGCGTCTTTTTTTGTCATTGTATATTTATCGAGAAACCGCTAGGCCTGCTAAATTCCTTGGAAATCTTGCAGGGTATCCAGTTGCATTTAATAGAGGTGGCGCATTGGATATCAAAAGTTACTTCAGGAGGTTCTTTATAACCAGCGCGATAAAAGAATGAAGCTTGCGATTTTCGTGCAATATTTTATGCGATCTCGCTTACCGTAACATGTCGTTTGTGGGCGTAGTAGAGCAGTAAAAAAGAAAGAAAAAAAGCCCCTTAAGTTAAAAAAAATACGGAACAATTACTGGGGTTCAGACAAAGATACATGACGCTAGCCGAGATGCCTTAAATCAGAAGTCAGCGTCAAAATCTGTAGGCTACTTTACGTCTTGTGTTCAAAGACTAGCTCCGTTCAACTTGCAGCGCTGTGGCTGCTTTCACATAGCTTTTTTCATGGGGGGGGGGGGGGGGGGCTATATTTTCTTGGGTCGTGGCTTCTGCTAATCATTCTAACGACATTAGTTTTTTTATTGCGAACGATTCTGGGATAAGAGGGGTCTTTATAATATATCAGGAAAGAGAAGAGCAGTGCTAGTAGTAACTATACGAAGTGTAAAAACCATTGCCTGAGATTTCACGCTTTTTTTGTTCTGAAGCTCTGAAATCTTACTCTTTTCGTGCTTTTTTCTTCTTTTTACTGCCACTTTTAAGTCGTCTTCGTTAACGCGCAATACATGCGAACTGCTTGGCATGTCCCTATAGTATACATGCTACGTTAGACAGTTATTTACAGCGAACTTTTATCATTTAGGCTGTATACAAAAACTGATACGATACTGTAGCTCTACATAAGTGTGACTCGACTATACATCAGTGTGGAAACTCGGCTATGAGTGTGTGACGCTACGTCTATAGCACGGCAAGCGCAACACAAGTTTTGTTCCAGTGAATGAAGATGGCACAGAAAAAAAAGAAAGAAAAAACTATTTAATGTAATTTGGACGGCACTATATGAAGTTTACAACGAATCAACGTTTCATGGAAGATTCACTTTAATTCGTGTTGACAGCAGTCGATGAACGGCACACAAAAACCAAAACAGTCTATTTCTCCATTTTCTAATTACAGGAACCGCACCGCGCTTAGAGATTTACTACAGAATCTGTATCTGAAATGGTGTCCGCGCAGAGATGGACACTTGTTGCGCCTCGACGCACCAACGGTAGAGAGATATGTTTAGTTTTCACACGAGGGGAACTTGCAACTGCGGAAGCTAGGACGAGTCCTTTATGGTTAACATTAAGAGGCCCTGAAACACTTTTTCAAATAACCATGGATTGAATTAACTGGAAAATCTTATTTCCTTACGAATGCAACGCCACAAAAATTTTAAGAATCCGTCCAATGCGAGTGGAGTTACAAGATTTGTCGCATGCTGCAATTGCATTCTTTCTTCTCTCCTCCCGACGAAAGCGATAGGCTAAGCTGGGAGGGATGGCAGGGGCAAAAGAAAATGTCACGCACGCCTCGTGACCTTGAGCACTTTTTTTTCTTCGAACGCGCGCCTTTTATAAACAAGTCGCGGTCTCCCGCGGTGATCTCTGTAACGACCAAGCGCGCCATGTTGATTGATTGATATGTGGGGTTTAACGTCCCGAATCCACAATATGATTATGAGAGACGCTGTAGTGGAGGGCTCCGGAAATTTCAACCACCTGGGGTTCTTTAACGTGCACCCAAATCTGAGCACACGGGCCTACAACATTTCCGCCTCCATCGGAAATGCAGCCACCACAGCCGGGATCAGATCCCGCGACCTGCGGGTCATCAGCCGAGTACCTTAGCCACTAGACCACCGCGGCGGTGAGAGCACGCCATGTTCAAATCAGCAAATGGCTGATGGATGGGCATCCTACGTGGGATTTTTGAGCATCTTCCGTAATTTGTCGAGAGAAGAGAAAGCAATTTTCAGCTGACTTTGATAATTTATCGTGAATTCGAGGCCGCGTGCTGCGCTATAACATTTGGCTTGCGTATTCTCGGAAGCCTTTACTACCGATTGGCAGCGGTTTCTGACCATGCTATTAACGTGTAGCAGGGCCACTTTAATAGCATTCGCAGCGTGCCCATGCCTGGAAAAAAGGAGGGGCGAGAAAGATGTTAAATTAGTTGAAAGTCAAGCGGTACTTTCATTTTTGCCTGTCCAGCACCGGCTATAGGATGATATCGGCGTGCGACGCAAATGAGGAAAACGAAACAAGACAACACGTATTGTGGTCTCACGCCAAATATTCAAGGAGCAATTTCAAATTAACGCTGATAAAGTTCCTCGAAATGGCACTTTATCATGGCAATTAAGTTCCTCGTCAGCGCCACAATGAATGTGAAAAACGGAAAAAGGGATCGGTGAACGACAGGCCGGAGCGGCGTTGCCCACCCGAGTGCCATGGCGCCAACGTGCAGGATGCCACGCACCTTTTCTCCTTTGTCCCCTTTTTCACCCTGCAAGAAGAAGAGCACCGCACGGCCGTCAGCGCTCCGTCGCACGTCGTCGCCGTGCAAAGTTCCGAGTCTTTATGACACCGGGTGGGCAGTACTTACGGAATCTCCCTTGGGGCCATCGATTCCTATCGCACCCTGCAAAAAAGAAAAAGAGAATGGAGAAGTTGTGTGCGCGGGCCACCGACGCTGTTTCCGGAACTGCTGCTCAATAGGACATGCAGCGTCAACGAAGGGAGGACCTCGGTGTTTTCACCCGTGTGTTTTTACTGCATTTGTTTTCCCTCAAGTTCCCGCAGCGTTCACGCTAACAAAACAACTGACAGACTGCTATTGTCATTGGCATATATACGGCAGAGCTGCATGGGAACTACGCGGTGGCCGTGGAGAGCGGACTGGCCATAGCTGCGAACACTAGGGAAAAAGCGAGAAAAAATTAGTAATATAGAAAGCGCCAGACCGCGGGCAGAAAGGGAGATAGAGAGGTGGGCGAGAAGTATGGCAGAAGCCTAAGCAAGCCCTGACAAGGGAACGTCAGTGCTCTAACAAAAAAGCTCAACGCCTTCAAGCATTTGAAGTGCGCTCGTGTAGCCCGACGTGCCTCGCGCAGGCAAGAATGCAAGAGAAGGGAGCCAACACAACTGTAGAACATTCGGCTTTGAGACCGCATCAGGTGTGACCGTATTAGACAGGCAGCTTATAGTAGGGAGTTTTAGTGCTGGGTACGCATTCCCTTGGGGCGTTGCGAACTTGGGAGCGCGCGGCGTTGCGTGCCCAACCCAACTGGAATGCCAGTACGCACGCAAACGCAAACCGCGCGATGGTCACACGCGCTCGTAGTGCCATAGCGTATTGTCGCGTAAGTATTGTTTAATTATTTTTACGATTTAAAACGTGAAACTAAACATACATAGTGACATGAAGTAAACTAATTTCAGTAAATCATTTTTAAATACTATGACAGTTATCAACACGAAACAAACAAACAAAAAAAGCTTTTCTGTATGCGCCACCCTTGCGACTGAAGCTGGTACCGTCGATGCCAAGCAATCCATATGGCCGGTCGTAGTCCGACAAGCGCGACAACAGAGCAACGGTGTAACGTGTAACTATGTGTAACTTTTAGCTTCTACGTATACTTCTTTACGTTAACGTGTTACCGGATACTAGTTTGCGTTTACCGTGTTACCGGAACGCGCCTCTTCCAACGTTTTGAGCTCCTCATACGTAAACATGTATGCCTTTACGTTTTCGCAAACCATAAACGGTGATGCTAACTGCATTTGAACTGCATTTAACTTACGTAGGAATGAAGCGCCGTTGCAGCGAAATAAATAGACTTTTTATTGTGTACAGTATCCTGGTATACGCAAAACAATATGAAAAATACAAGGTTACTGTAACGATAGTGTCGACATCTTGTGACACTTCATGCAACCAGAGTCAAAAACATGTTAGCTTTTGCGTAAAGTTTTTGAAGTGAAAATGAACAAAAAGGTTACTTATTTGTAATATTGTCGCTGCGCAGTTCTTGCACCAGACGTACAATGCACAATGTTTCTGCAATAACAATGTTGTGACTGCCTGGTTCACTATGGCCACTCTAGATGGCTCCACCTGTTTAGCTCGTCGTGGGCTGGCATATATTTAGTTTCTATGTCCCAGGCCATTCTAGCTTTGGCAATCTGGCTGAAACAGTGTAATCGCTATAAGTGCTCACACTTTGGCTTATTTTAACTCGACAGCTAGAGTATCCGCAGTGCGGATGCTGTGAGTTCTTGCGAAGGTGGACTTTAAAAGGCGGCCGATCCATGCTGTCCGTGATTTCGAGCTTTGTGCCATGCTATTTGTATATTGGCTAGCCACTATAATATTTGCGCTTAAAACTTAAAAGTCAAAGTGGTGGCTCTAGCCAGCCTCAGCTTTGCTCGCTGTGATGGTAAAATGATGCGCCAGCATGTGCGCCGGCATGTGCGCCGGGGCAGCTTATCTCTGCTAGGAGACCAGTGGTGGCAGCGTTGTTTATGGCCGGGCCGACGCATGGCCCCATTGCCCCAGCGATCTTGCGACGCATCTGTTTGGGGTTTCGCGCATGCGCTATACCGCCGCCCCAAGGTCCTGGGTACGCAAGCCGCTTGGGTACCCAGCACTAAAACTCCCTAGTTACAGTCACTGCGGTACAATGCCAATTGTTCGCACTGTGAGCACGACTAGCCACCGCCCGAAGCGTAGGAACGCTGTGCCGATGTAATTCACCACGCGTAATTTTATTGTTCCTGCGCAAGCAATGCTTGACTCATGGGCTATGCGAGTGCGACATGGAGCCCCACTGTCAATGTTCCGTACGGCAGTGCTGCATACAGTTAGCTGGAAAGTTACGGGAGAGAGAGAGAGAGAGAAGCCTGGGAGTTTAACCAGAAGGCGGTGACTTGTCCCAAGTTCACTGAAATTGGTCGCTAGGGGCACGCAGAAAACAGCAACGCGCCAGCGTCCCCCGTCCCCCCTTCCCCTGCTTCACAACCAAAGTAAAATATTTTATTTTACTGTAAATAATCCTTGGCATTTCTGTTAGCACAGTGTATATTATAATAGGGTCATCCCAGTGATCCGACATATCACTGTTTAACGACGACACAAACTGGTGGGTGAATTAACCTCGATCTACAGCATCAAGTAGTATAGTAGTACTGCGCGTTGTAGGTAAATTAAATCGAGTTGAAACTGTGTCGGCTTGATCTTCGGGCCGGTCAACGAGACGCACGTACAAGGGAGCGTACTGGGATTTCGAAATAAACTACTAGGCTTTATGTGCTAAGCTGTGTTAGTTTGCGTGCAGCCTGACGATTGTATGACGCAAGATCCTTTTTTAAAATGTTTTTTGCACCTGTTTTCGCTAAACGCACACACATTATATATATATATATATATATATATATATATATATATATATATATATATATATATATATATATATATATATATATATATATTATGTATGTGTGTGTGTGTGTGTGTGTGTGTGTGTGTGTGTGTGTGCTGAACAGTTTTTTTCAATGGGCCAAACGTGATTGGGAAGAGAAAAAATACAACTTAGCGTGGTTGCCATAATTTTATTTCCAATGGTTTCAACTGCTCCAATGGTCGAAACCATTGGAAATAAATTAGGGCAACTGCTAAGTTGTGTCTCTTCTATTTCGATATATATATATATATATATATATATATATATATATATATATATATATATATATATATATATATATATATATATATATATATATATATATATTTAACTTTTGAAGGAACGAATATTTTAACTTTTGAAGGAACGAATTAGAAAGTTGTAGATCGGTATGCAAAACGTCTGTTTAGACAGTTTTGAACTTTATATATGGTAATTATTGTGTTTTTCGGCTAACTATGAATGCCTGCGAAATACAAAAACATATCATCATCAGCCTGGCTGTGTTCACTGCAGGACAAAGGTCTCTCCCATGTTACGCCAGTCTACTCCGTCATCTGCTTGCTGCTGCCACTTTATACCCGCAAACTTACTAATGCCATCTGTCCACCTAACTTTCTGTTTCCCCCTAACCAGCTTTCCTTCTCTGGGAATCCAGTCTTTACCATTAATGGCCACAATAATACAAAAAATACACCACGTGACAAGCCCACTGGTGCACCTACGAGCGCCGTGTGATTCTGGTGCTCCCTAACGCTTCACGTACGAACGATACGCTTCCCTCGCACCGGTTCATAATAGCGATAAGCAGTCATTGCGGTTATCACTTTTGTGGCCGATAGCAAAAAATGCGTTTATCGCAAAGCCACAACCATTGTTGCGGCCCTGTCGAGACAGTTTAATCAGGCAAACGGAATGGTTGTTTGCACGTGGAACATTAGGAAGCACTAGAATGACCGTGCGCACTGGCGCGCGAGCGGGTAGGTAACGTGGTATTTTTTTGTATTTCGCGGACATTCGTAGTTAGCTGAGATACACTGTTATATAACAGATATAAAGTGCGTAAACTGTCCGATGGGATGTTTCGGAAACCAATCTACAACTTTCTCATTGAAATGCTTATCTATCTTCGTTAAAGAGATCTAATCTAATATAAAGAGATCTAATTAAACAATATTTTAGAGCACGAAAAATAGCCTTACTAACTCCAGGCAATGGTCAGCAACGTGCATTTCAACGCGTCGTAATTGCGCAAGTCGACCTATTTTTAAAACTCCGGCTAAAGATAGCTGGGGCACCCTGTATATGGTTTCAGCGAGAACAGACACAGGAAACATTTTCACAAAGGCTCTTGCGTCATACAGCCGTCATGATGCACGCAAATTAACAAAGCTTAGTCCATGTGACCTTGTAGTCCGTTTCAAAATCCGAGTACGCCCCCTTGTACGCGCGTCTCGTCGACCAGCCGGAACATCAGGCCGACACAGTTTAGACTCAATTTTCTTCTATTACACCACGTCTCTCTCGTCGAAAACGCAAGAAGCGAACGAAAAACAAAGTTCGAAACGGCGCAGGAGACCAACTGGCCAAAGATGTATACACCACGTTTCGCGCTTTGTCGTCTCGATTCGACGCGTCACCCTCCAGCACTATACTATCTCTAGGAGTTTCTAGGTATAGATAGTGTAATTACGTCGACGCTTCCACGGTGAAATGTAAAAAATTTTGCTCGTATATGAAGTGAGCAACTTCGACGACCGCTGCGGCAATCTCGCTCACCGCAGAGAGCGACGCTTCGCTTCAGCCACTTCCCGTGTTTCATTTCGCGGAAAGCGCTGTGTGCTCGCATCGACCAAAGATAATATTCAATAACGAAACGGCCGTCGTAATGAAGACAGAGCCCGACACTCTCATCTTCGACGAACCGCCGGACGTCGCATAATGGCCTGCGCATGCTCCCGTCTCCGGTCTCTCTCGCTGTTTCGACTCGGCGAACTTGTCCGTGCGGATTTTCTCGAGGGGAATCACTCGACCGTTTTTCCTGAAGACTTAATTAGGGGATCCCGCGCGAAGATAAATGTGGAGCGGCTACGACGGCCGCGAATCTCACTTCGCTGTTCTTTATGCTATACATTCAAAAAGACACTTGCGTACGCGCGGGATACATCTATGCAAGAAAAAGGCCTCGGCGACTGCTTACACTACTCGCCGTTATTGTTTTACGAAGTCTGGAGCGGACGAAGCAAGTTTGCATTCAGGGATGTGCTGCCCCGTATGTATGTATACAGTGCTCAGCGATTGGGACGCGACACTCGGACCCGTATAACGCGTGTCGTTATTTTGCGCCGAGGAGGCGCGCTGAGGAAACGAAGCTGATTCATTGTTGCATGCAGCTATAAAGTGAGAGCCTTGTATTGTAACCTCAATTGACTTAGTAGCGATCAACGCTATCGCTAATAACCACCGGCCGGCACTGTGTACTGGTACAATGTAGTGTTTATTCGATTGAGTTTCACATGGATACCATTTGTTTCAGTGCGATTGCAGTTTTAATGGGGGACGCACTCAACAGAGGTCTGTCTGGCTGAATTAGAATTCATACGAATAAAATAAATTCTCCAGCCACCTTTATTCGAAAGTTTCCAGTGCTGAAATTAAAAACTAAAAACTGATCCAACCTTTTGTTTTGGGACCAATTTGGTTCCTTCTTCAAGGGTTCAGCCAGAACCGAAGCTATGCGACTTTCCTTAGCGGTCTCCCTCTCTCAAATCGTTCTTCTTCCCGCCGTTCTTGTTGCTGTGGTGTTTTTTCCTCTCGTTCCCCAGACCATGGTCAACACTAGGTAAGGTTACAAGTAAGCTGGTAATATATATATATATATATATATATATATATATATATATATATATATATATATATATATATATATATATATATATATATATATATATATATATATATATATATATATATATATATATATATATATATGTATGAGATTTAACAGACAATAATGCCAAGGAAAGCATAGGGAAAGTGGAAGTTATTAGACCGAATTGTAATGTAACTGCGAAGAAAGAAATGATGGTGAAAGCGAATAAAGCGTTGGATGCTCCCCTAACTGAGCTACCACGGCGGCTATCCCCCAGCAAATTTATTTGGTATATATGTGAATTAAACGTAGGAGTGTCCGTAAACAGTGCCACTAGTAGTCATGGCGGTGAGTGTGTCACACTCTTTTATGAGCCTGATTGGCATCACGTAGCGCGTGAACTTATTACGAGCTTGTTACGATATAATACTCAGAGTAATACTTAAATGGGCAAGTTTGTCTTCGTGAAGATAGGTTATAACACAACGGAAGCTTTGTCAACAGGAATAAATAAACGAATAAAATTTCTCAACAGTTCCGGGGCGGGGGGGGGGGGGGGGGGACTCCGTTCGTCAGGCGATGAGTTAAGCATTGGGTTTAACTCATCATCCCCTGACACGAAGGAAGGACCCGTCCCGAAACTGTTGAAACATATATTTATCCTTGTTGACAACGCTTATATATATATAGAATGAAACAGCTTTGCGATTTCGCTATATACGTGTACAAAGGCGAGCATTCAGACGCTCGACGCTGGTGCGTTATGGATCGGCACTTAAGAAGAAGGGAATCAAGATGCCGTCGTCTTACCGGAAATCCGGGTTTTCCTGGAGGCCCCGATGCGCCCTGTATAGAAAGAGGGTCGAGGAAAGAATAAAACAAGCAAAATTATCAACAGGCACGCTACAAAATGCTTCGACTGCAGCAGACCAATGCTTTTGCCAGACACCAACACAACACAAACCGTAAAAACTGCGCTTATTGAGTGACATTTCGTTCTTTGAAACTTTTCTCTGGTTTGTTTTCGTCTACTCAAAGAAAACTGCATCTGTCATATGTTTGTTTCGACAGTGATGTTTATGGTTGATGCCAAAGCGCACGCAACAATTCGTTCTCCCGGTTTGAAGAACAACTGTACAATATGAATTGGCGGCGCTTGTTTCTGAGGGGACCTCAGAAAGAACACCCACTGAATAAAAGAAAAAAAAAGGCGCCAATGACCATTAGGGATCTGACGCGCTGCCTTCTCCGGCAAAGTGGATCGCACTGTGGTCGCTGTTGTCAGTACTTTCGCCCCCTTGCCTATAGTTAACCAGCCCGCGTGCACCTATCGCACGTGCTGCACGCCACTGCTCGTGAATCGAGATGTGTCGGTGGCATTGTGGCTTTACGAAGATTACCAGGCATGGGAAAGCGTTTTCGTTGAGATAATATCACCAAAGGATATCACGGCTGAGCGACCAGGTTTACGGAACCCAGCACGTCGTCGAATTCGACGGTGTTTGCGTGAGTGTTATAACATGCGTATCGAACGTGAATGACCATATTTCTACGACGTTAACGTCGGTGTGACTCTGCAGTTTCTGTAATCATGAGGCAAATAAAACGCACCTTTGTTAAGGCAACGGTGTCTGCCTGGTGCCGTCAGCGAATAGCAACAACGCTTTTGCGTGCGTGTGTTTCACATGAAATCTGAAGCCAAGTTTGTCGCGGGGCTGTAAATTCTATTTGAGCTCCATGTGAAAATTCTTCACATTTGCGGCGGCTCTGTTGAGCCACTGGCAGCAGCATCGTAATGCGCAGTGTTCAGTTGTTTCCCTTTAGCCGAGGCTGGACAATAACGACGCCAGTGATGCGTCATGGTTGTTTTTACCGCTCACTTTTGGGAGCGTCATCCCACGGGCAGGATGATTAATAACTGCCCACTACAACTATGAATTATTTCCGGCAGCGCTGATTTTGACACAGAATGATATCGTGTGCAGCGAAATTATTGTCGTCTTGGCTGTTCTATTAATGGTCCCTTTGTCCGCAGTGAACCGTAAAATTCTCACTGTGATCGGGCAGGTTCCCGATTACGCTGGGATTCGTTTCTGGTGATGATGGCGCCTGATATCGCGAAACGTTGGCTTATATTAATGCCACTTCGGTCACTCTCCCAGCTCGTTTGGGTGACCCACTAAAACGGGCTGGCGTATATCGCCTCCGGCACGCAAGAGCATGCAAGGCCAGTGTAAAAGCTCAGCGTAAACACGAAACTTCAGTTTATACAATGAGCCGCAACTGAAAAACTAACGCCACTATTGGAATGAAATACGGGTGGTACTCACGATACAAGAATTGAACTATGGTATGGTCAGTTAACGAGCTTTTCTGCTCTTAGCATTAAAAAATATGGCCTGGATGACTCCTCCAGCCAACGCACACTCTCGAAAAGTAAATGTGTTTATTAGTAGCGCTTTCGGTTTGATAAGCGCACTTACGGTTAAAAAACGCATGGTGATAGCACGTTTCAACGTTGATACTGTTTACGACAAAAATGACAAAAGTAATACAAGATCGTGAAAGTATGACTTGATTCTGCGAACTGCCGTGATCCATGCTCTCCGCCTCACAACACTACAGCCATGGGAATGGTAGAACTTAACGGGCCGATCTTGGCCCTTCGTGTTTTCTAAACTATTCTTACAGTGCACAGTGCAACAATATTACGCGCACGAATTCGTGAACGATGAAGAAGTAGCCGTCATGGTGGGAATAGCGTGATATGAAAGCTTCGAAACCCACGTTCAACGCCCGCGCAAACCTATAAGCAGGTCCCAAGAACCCGCAGATTCGTTCTCACTCCGATAAGTTGGTGGTGATAGAGAGAGAGAAAAATAAATTCCATTTTACTACCAGGCGCACGTTCATCACGCCCAGAGAGGGCTGACTTCCTTATTCTAAGTAACCATGGCTTGCAGCTGACGCCGAGCCCTGTCCATCAGCCGGAGCTGCTCCTCAGGGCTTGGTGACGTCAGCAACGCCTACCACATGCAGTCCAGATTTTGTTGTACGTTCAGTTCGTCTACGGGTGGGATACTTGTGTTCTTTCGGCATACCGATACCATGTGCTACGGGGTGCCAGTAATCTTATGAGATTGCTGACCCCGTACTATATGGTATTGTCTGCAGCAAAAACTGCAGATAATGCCCTATAGGACATTATCTGCAGTTTTTGCTGAATTTTCCGGGGTACATAGCCTGGTGTGCTGTCTCTTTAGAAAAAAATCAAAGTTTTCTGAGAAAAAGTCTTGTAGACTTGCAGTTGTGGTTCTGAACCTTCCGAACATACTGGTATGTTTTCTCTCCACAACTGTAAAGGTTTACATTATGAAGAATGATGTCACGGGAGACATATTCAAACGCAAAAAAATGAAGAAAAGCAGATGAAGAACATTTCTATCTGTTAGCCATATTTCCGAAAAGGCGATATAATGGATAGTTTCTGCAGGTGTCAAGTGTCAATATTGATGAGCTAGTAAAATGAAGAAAAAAGAAAACTAGTTTGTGGTAGATGGGGCATTATATTAATGTAATGGTGCCTGATAGTAGAGTATGAAATACTGTAAGTGTGGCTGTGGCAGGACTGGCGTGGACGGCTTCGAAACGCCCGGAGGAGAGTTAAACTTCAACGAAAGCATCAAAAAATGCGAATTCGGCATTCGTACGCCCTCTGAACTCCCACACATGCATCGACGTTGTCATTAAATAAAGCGGATTGCTGCTCTCAGAACTTTCAGCAGCCCAGCTTCCTTCTGTGGGTAGAAGAAAGAGGGTTGTAGCGCAATACACCCTTACAACAACAACAACAACACTACTACTACTACTACTACTACTACTACTACTACTACTACTACTACTACTACTACTACTACTACTAATAATAATAATAATAATAATATTAATAATAATAATAATAATAATATCGGGGTTTTACGTCCCAAATACACGATATGATATGATTATGAAAGACGCCGTAGTCCATGGAGCGTTTTAGATGTTTTAACCATCTGGTGTTCTTAGACGTGCACTGACCAGGATAGTACACGGGCCTCTACCATTTAATTTACACCGAAATGCAACTGACGCAGCTGGGATCAAATTTGCGACCAGCAAATCAGCAGCCGAGTAGCGTAAGCGGGCTGATTCTCCGTGGCGGACAGCCATCGCGTGTGAAATACTATTGGTGCGGCTATGAAAGAACTTATGTGGATGGCTTCGGAACGCCCGAATAAGAGTTAAGCTTGAACGTAAGCATAAAAAAACAATGTGAGTTTGGTCCTCGAAAGTACACCGCAGACCTACACGTATATACGACAGTATCACATATAGTCATTCAACAAGGTGTACTGCTTGCAGAACTTTCAGCCCCACAGCTTTCTTCTGCGGCTAGAAAGAGGAACTGTAGCACAATACCCTCTTCTCTTGTCACGAAAGGAGGCCTGTGTTTAGATGTACAAATACAGATAATGAGCTGCACAACGCCTCCTTTGTTGTTCCATGTGGCGAACGGTGTCAGAAGACCAGCGACATCTTAAAGTAACCATTGTGCTCGCGCTCTTAAAAAACAAGCAGCTGCATTGCACTGAGATAGAGATCTTTTGGCTCTCCCGGTCTCCTTATGTTTTGTCTCTGCTGCAGCCTCGCGATAACCGTTTAATAGAATAATTATGAGAAGAATAAATTCTTGAGTTCTGCTTGCCAAAAGTAAGATACGATGATTAATCCCGTCGTATACTAGGGAAGTCCAGTTTATTATTGACCATCTGGGGTTCCTTCACGTGCGCCTAAATCTACAGAAGATCGCGTTTCTGGGCAAGTTAATATTTTCTAACAAACATCTCGTAGCGCTAAAGCGCGCACGCACACACACGCACACACACACACACACACACACACACACACACACACACACACACACACACACACACACACACACACACACACACACACACACACACACAAAGAAATAGAAAATGACTGGACAGGTGCTAAATCAAACTTTATTTGAGACTAAGAATGGCTCGCATATATGCTATTCCCAAAGCTCAGACGCATCATAGATATTGGCAGGCCACAGTATTATCCGCGTCATACAGCGAAACGGACATTTGGCTGACACATTCAACTTTTTCTGTTTTTTTTATGTGGAATGCCTGCAGAAATTTATGCGCCCTTTTACGTTTACTTCTGTCAACTAAAAATGAAGAGACGCCGAGGACTTCCTTACATTAGGATCCTGACATGACAAAGTATCAGCTCACAAGAGCAGTATTTGCAATGCGCCGAAAGGTATATACACACAAGATCCTTCTTTAAATTGTGCACGTGTTGCCCCAGGCGGCCATTTACGATCTTTCCGTTTTAATGCGTCCTGTATATTACTTGCCACAGGTTTGGGGGTAATTTATACACCCCGATTGTCGCATAATGAGAGTAATAGTTGGTGTGCTTGAGTTGGCAGCGGCCGTCTTAGCGGTGCCCATGATGCGGGGGCACAGTTGGGTCAGCTTGTTTGGGCGCGTGAAATACAACGCCTATACATCATACGTGTGAGCCATTTTTTTTTTCAAATGGTGGCTGATCTTATGTACATAAGGCACGACTGTCGGCCCTTGGCCTCTTTCACTCACCCGCTGAGGCCTCTTTTTCGAGCAACCCTTTTTAATATAACGTTGCGGGGAAGCCGCCACAGACGCAATGATCGAATGAGGATAACCTGCTTTTTATATCCAAGCGAATTGGTATTCGAAGCTATCCGGACTCTTGCGCTCACAAGAATTTCTGAGTGAAGATCTTAGGCA